AGTTAAGGCCATAGATATCTCATATACACTAGATAGCGCATCTCGGAATACAAAACTGAAGCCAAAAACCGCTGAGGTTTCCCCCATGAAAATAGGCGGCGGCCATATTGGTCGTTCCCACTCATCAATGAAATGCTATAGAAAATACTATACTTTTCGAGGCTTTTTTGCATTTCTGGATTAAAAATACCTTTTTGAGGTACGTTCGCCTTGAAATCGCAGCTTTTTTGGAAAAAGGTACAAGAAAAAACATTAATCGGCGATGTTGTTGTCTTTGAATCGCATTTTAAAGCTAAAAATTTCGAATTACGACATTGGCTTTATATACTTGTTTTGAATCTGTGAGTGATTCTCTGGTGAAGTATCGTCTAATCAATACATGTACTTACGGTTTCTGGCACCACTTTATGGAAATTGGTAAGTAACGTTTCGACTATCGGCGTAGGCAGTTTATACTGTAAAGTTTTCACTGTAAATCTTTAGTGAAATGTTTGAGACAGTCTGAGTCTGCACTTTCAGCTTGGGTAGTTTTCACTCTAAATCTTTAGTGAAACGTTTGAGACAGAGTTTGCACTTTCAGCTTGGGCAGTTTTCACTATAAATCTTTAGTAAAATTATGTTTGAGGCAGAGTCTGCACTTTCAGCTTGGGCAGTTTCATAGTAAATTTTAGTAATATTTAGCTTTCTCTGATACATTCTGTGTAATCACTCACACTGGTGCTTAAAAGGTACAAGTTTATTTAATTTCTTTCTAATTTTTTGTCCAGATGAATTCTCAGTGGTCTTTTTTGCAAGATGGTAAAATTTAACCTCACAGTAACTCTTGATGATGCTCTTGGTCAACTGAAATATAACATGATTTTCACCAACTGGTGAGTCAAAAATATGGTGATCTAGCTCAGTAAAAAGATTGTATATGGACAATGAAGCCAGAACATATGGACAATGAACAATGAAGCCAGAACAGAAGTGGTCAGAGCATATAAGTGTCTGCTTTCTGAGAACAGAACAGTATGGACAATGCAACCAGAACAAAAGTGGTCAGAACATATAAACATCTGCTTTTTGGGTGACCACTTTTCTTGATGAACATTTTGTATCAACTGTTTTCATAGTACTTCATCCTTAGGGATGTTTATCATGTTAATGCAAGTCTAATTTCAAGCAAAATAATAGTATACTGTAAAAAACTAAAAATAAATTGCTTACTGATGAATTGTCCTGGGAAGTTTTCTTTTGATTTTTGATTCTGTCACTTGACCCTTCACTATTACTTATACTTTTTGCATCAGGAATGACTTTACCCATTGCTATGAAATTTTCTGAGTTTAATTCAAATTTTTAATTTCAATTGGCACCAAAACTTCTTCAGGTCTCAAAATTTTTTTTAAAATTGGACATTTTTTAATGATATTTACAGTAACCACTAAACTCAAAAGGCAAAAATTGAGAGTTTATCATGTTTTCAATTCCTGAGAGTACTGGCAAATTTATTTTATTTTTTTAGAAAAGTTTAATTATTGTGCATCTGATGAGTCAAAGAATTAGAAAACACTATTTATACACAAAGTCAAAAGTAATACTTTATTATAACAATAGAATTATTTATACAATAGTGAGTGCAACTATATTTAAGATTATAAAATCTCCTGTGCATCAAGCAGTTTATCCCATTGACCTTACAATATACAATATACAATAATGCAAGAAGTAATGTGTCTCATTACAAAATAGGGTTAATTTCCCAAAGCAGTTCTAAAATTCAGCTGATTATCAATGACCTATGCTGTTAATAATTACAGTAATTTAGCAGTTTGATTGCTTGAATTAAAAACAAAAGGTCTAGGACTCAACAGAAAGAAATATTTCTTAACATCAAATATTAAAGATAGTTTGAAGCATTCATACAATTGAAGGTTTTAGAAAGTTTGATTATCAACTACATTTACATAAAGCAATATCAATTATGTTATATTGCCTGCGAATATACTAAGTTGCAATTATTCTTCTCTAGCTTCTAACACATTTTAATCTTGATATGATTCCATGGAACTATAAAATAATATATGATATGTTGTATGTATGTAATAAATATACAAATAGTAAGGAGTAAGAACCATTTTTGGTATCAATGTTTTATATATTGACTATTTAAGATTTTATAATTAAAGTCTATTTTTGCCATTGATAAACTGTGACTAAAATATGTTTTTCAGTGTCGCTGTCTTTTACAAAAGAATATGCAAATACATTCACAATTTTGCCATGAAGCAATGGCGATGGCTCAAAATGTTTTATTTGGAATTGGTGGAACTATATTTATATATACATCAACAATGATGGTTTGTCCATAAGGTTTGTCCTATGGGCGCCCTTCATACGGGTCGACAAATATTGATATTTTCGAAAAAAAAAATTAAATTCTGCCTACCCGTTATTCACAATATGAAGCTCCAACGATCTGGCATCATTTACAACAATTAAGTTGCACACTTGAAAACCCAAAATTGACTGCATAAAAGAGGATTTATTGTCAACTTTGTTCATTTCCGCAATACAAAATATACAAATTATCACGCTCCGTGGGAACGACCAATATGGCCGCCGCACGTAAACCATAGAATATATAATAGACCAGAAGCCTCACTGTACACCTTTCCTTAACATTTTCGTGTCCGCGATTTTTGCCTTGCGGATCACGAATTTCGCACGCTAGATGACGTATGTGACACTTGCTGCGAACATCACGTCAGCGTTCGTCAGCAAAACGGTTAAAACAGCAATCTTTATTACCTGGTAATGGCAATTGATGGCGTAATTGCTCGCGTTTGATGGCGTGGATTACACTTGCTGGCTCGCGCCTGCGCATAAAAAGTCTCGGACACAATTTTGGCTGAGTGAGGCTTCTGGTCTATTTTCTATTCTGTGCGTAAACTGCGACTGCGATCAGGCTTCAATTTTCGCCTGCCTACAGGGTGGGATGCGCTATCTAGTGTATATGAGATATCTATGGTTAAGGCCCTGTACCCGGAGTGAACGCCTGAGTAGGCGTCTTGTTCATTTTAATATTATATATTATAGGACTATCGAACAAATAAAACTAGAAATGGAAACCAAAAGCAATAGCAAAGCATCACAGCAAAAAAGTCTATCATAAATGACTTGAATCTATCGCTTAAATCCAATATACGAAACTATAACAGTATTCTGAACTTCGTCTTCGGATTGACATCAGACCATAGTATAGTACATTTTGAGGTCGTCGTGGCTTCACGGATTATTCTCATTAGTGAGCAAGTCAGCAAGCGAAGGCATACAAAAGATACCCAAATATGTACGAATAATTATATTGTCGATCCTCGCTGGCATGTCATTGAGATAAATATATATATCGTACATTAAACGTTGTACTGTTTACTGTATATTAACTGCTGACAATTTCGTCGTCGATACGGCTTCCACTATTGGCACACTCGTGATTTCGAAGAAATTAATAAATACATGCTCATTTATCATTTATTTAGACCACAGTTAGTAAAATTTTAAACGTATTCGGTATTCCAAATCCCAATCTATCTGACCGTATTTTAGTAATAGCTTCAAAATATTCAGAACATTGTTCTTTCAGTCGCACATAGTACAAGTATTACTGTACATTCAAAGCCAATGGTAGTTTATTCGGCTTTATATTTGTATGTGTATTGATATCTATTTAATATTTGAAGAATTCTATATTTTTCCGAGTAATATATTGTGCGGCCCGCTAATGCTTTGTATTATTATTGTTCATGTTGCACAATGTACACGCCTTGCGTCAATTTGACAGTTGACAGTTTATTTATCGCAGTCGACGCTGATTGGTTAGCGTTTAGCAGATGCGAAAAGGGGATGAATGAATAAAACGCATGGTTCCGTGCAGGCTCACCTTTCTCCCAGTGAGCCTGTTCGCAGGCTACAGAAAGACCTGACGCGGAATTCTAGAATAAAATTTCCATAATTTGCGATTTAAATCAGTAATCAGACATATAGTTTCCGCGCAATGCCAATGATTCATATTTTTCGGCCATATACAACATTTGTATATACCATAGTTAATAGAGGACAGGGTTTGGAAGGCCGGCAAACTTCAAAGGCTTTCGAGCTAATTAATTTCAGATGTTGGAAAGGTACGTCACGTGACATTTCGGGTGCATCAAATTCAGAAATTACTATAGCGTAGTATTACAGAAATATGATATTGTGCTTATAAATTTTAAAATGAGGCATTGTTGTTCTTGTTATGGCTTCGACAAGTTCGGCATACGATTCAGAAAGCAAAATTCACACAATTCTGGGTGCTGGAGACGCAGATACAACGACGGAGGCGATTTTCATGAAACTATTTAGCTGCTGCAAATCAACGCGGATGAATTAACTGAAGAAATATCGCGTTCAGTTGAAGAAGTAAGTCCTTTATACTGTGTCCAATTAAACAATATGTAGTGAGATGCCTTAGACTTAATATTTGACTTATATTTGTCGTTTAGATTGAAGGATTAAAGCAATTCCTGTGCGAATATCGACGCAGACGTATTAAGCACTCGACAAATTCTACAGCTAGTACTGCCAATTAAGGGAAAATCAAAACCCATGTTACATGACTTATCACGCATATGAGAAGGCATTGTCGATCATTCGAGAGGTAGGGAAAAGGAAAGAATATTTTCATCCATGCAGAGAAGATAAAGTCGTGCTTTTGATGCTGGTGAATATGGCCGAACGGTTGACTTTGCTATTACCAGCAGATATTCTAAAGTTATTATAAACACTGAAGAAACTGCATGCTTTAATACCAGTAAATATCTTAATACTGTATTACTATATAGACAATATACTGTAACCTAGATATGAATGTCTTAAATAGTAGGCCCTAAGGCTTATGTCCAATTGTCAATTACAGGTCCAGATATTGACCAATATACAGTGATTCAATGTCTACTAAGGTGCTGATTACATGGTGCCGAGCTGGCCCGGTTAACCGGGCTGACTCGTTTGTTTAGGACCTTACTGTGGTTTTAAAACTCGCGTAAAATAAATTTGCAATAAATAATTGGTTTAGTATAGATGCAAAATCATCCTAAACCCGATTTAAAACTCATTTTGCGGCCCAAGGAAGATTTTCGTGACATTTTTCAGCCCGGTTGACCGGGCTGGCCCGGTCCATGTAATCAACCCCTAACATGTGATTTGTTACTTTTGATCATTCTGTCACATCAAAATAGAATGTTATTCCAAAATTCCATGATATTTCATGCCCATCCCACAGTTTCCAAGACCAAGTCTTATAATATATCAGACAAAGGAGATATCAAAGGAAATATCATACAGAGGAAAATTAATATCAAATTTTGATATTTCCTCTGTATAGTACAATATTGACCTAAGGGTATTAAACTTAGTTCTTATTCCTCTCCAAATGCTTTGTAGACCAACTGTTGGATGCCAGAAGATTTTACCTATGTGCAAAGGATTATATACCCAGAAGAGTTTGGACCACCCAGCTTATGTTGCTGGAGAGGGGCCGTCAGCCCTGTGGGTACCAAATTCATGACTTAATGATATTGCTAGAATTGCTGAATCGTGCTTTAGAAAGCACACAAGAATTAATGCAAACCTACTTCTTTACACGTTAATAAAGTTATTAAGAATGTCCAAGCTCCATTAGCAAAAAGTTTGTGGAATGACATTATTGAGCAATCTAATAGCATTGCAGTATCAAAAGAATGCCAGTATGTCCTTGTGTTTTGAGAATATTGGTAAACTATATGGCTGTTAAGTTTCAAATTTTGCCATTTGTCGTGCTCCAGCCCGATTTCTGGTTCTGAAAGGCCCGATTCTCAGCCAAAGAGTGCACGCCAAGCAGGCTGGTCATTTCATTGTTTAACTGCCCCACACTCAAAGGGCACTTTTTGCATCTTCTGAAAACTTGGGGGCCTTGGCCCCCTGGTTCCTATGCCCCTGGTTGACAGCCAATTTCAGATGTGAATAGTGTACTTATTCACTACGTCAGTGTGCTCTGATTCTAGCCGTTGTTGTCTCTCAAACCATGAAAACTAAAGTTGAGCCTACCAATGTCTTGTCTATTTGAAGTGAAACAAAATTTTGTGTAATAGTGATTTACTGTATATATTAGTATAATTTTTTTACAAATTATTCAACTAAGGTAATATATTGTTCTAGTCTTATTGTTCACCTATTCATTTATAGTCTGTTTTAATAATTATTTTATAACATATGTACAAATTATTGCATATTACTCTTTTGAAGCAGTGCTGTCATTAAGTTTACAAGTAGGTGGCCGAAAAATGATTGAACATTGAAGGCACAAGACTCCTAGAGGGGTCTGGGTGCATGCCCCTAACCCTGAAATCTAAACAATTGGAAATGCCATTCCCTCCATTTGGGAAGGTATTTTACACATTCCCTGCATTTTGGAAGGTATTTTACAGAGTTCTTAAGATTACAAAACATCCTATCAAAGCCTGACCTGTTTGAAATCATTTAATCTTTTGTTTTATAATTTTGATGTTCTGACTAGAGGAAGTAAAAGGTTTGTTTATTGCTTCACAGTTTTGTTTATATGAACTTTGTTCAGACAGAAGTAGGCAAGCTACAGGCCCTTAATGACAGCTCTGGGTACAAAAACCCCACAAAAGTTCTCACTAGATTACTTCTGTTTTATGTTACGGCAAGGCCTTTTCTAATCCACCATACCATTTACTCCTCTGACCAGTGTGACGACCAGCAATGTTACCTGGCTCCAGTTGTCGATGTAGAGAGGTATGCTTTTCTGGGGTAAATTAAAGGTAGGAATAGCACCAGCTACAAGCCTTTTGCAGGTGGGAACTAAAGCAGAACATAAAATATCTGATTATATATACAGTAAGTTGACTTAATTGTTAAGATAGTAATTATAATAAAATTCACAGCAAACAAGATTTATAATAACTGTAAATGGGGCTTTCATATACTATGACATGGCCAAACAAAAATCCTGTTACTTTATTATGCCAGTTTCTTGCCTTTGAATATTGTATAATACTTTGTTTACTGTATACGAAAATGTTTCTACTGTCCTCAGTGACAGTGTCCTGAATAATATGCATATCTTCATTTTATGAACACAAGGATTAACTGTTATATAAATGACCTAATGACCGAAGCGCACTTTTATGCAAATCATTAATATATAATTTTCCTGCTCTATGACCATATGGTTAATACAAATTTGATCATTTGATACATGAAATATATACAGTACTTCTGCTAAGTTGTAACTTTCAAGCGTTCATACCGAAATATCAATACCTCTACCAGAGAAAGAAAATAACTTACATGTTTCGGCTGGGTCTTTTCAAAGTGTCTTTCACAAACGTGAAGTGTTTGTTGAGCGATTTGATTTCTTAAACTTGCATCTATCTCTCGATCCAGCGTCCTTTGTGACAAGCCTCGCCAACGCTTCGCGAATTTTCGTCGATAAATCGTCGTCTTTTGTTGGATTTCAAAAAATACTGAGATCAAAGTGTTTTCTACTAGTCCCGCAACCATGTATGGTGCAATTTGCACCTGGTATTTGGATATCCTTTCTGTAAAAGACGTTTTTCAAGTACTACAGCCTCCTCTGTAATACAATCTCCTATTACAAATAGATTTTGATGCACCCGTATTGTCACGTGACAGAGAACAATAACATAATTTGGCCACGCCCCCAGCTTCCAAACCCTCTCCTCTATTAACTATGGTTTGAGTAAGTGATTTTTCGGAACAGTATCTAGTTCCTTCAATACCAATGTGTTCTAGTAATATGAATATTTTTCTGTGCTGGTGTTGTGTACTCAGGTGAATAATATCCCACTGTGATATTATTGATTTTTCGAGCTCGCCCGGTGTGGATATGCACTCAGAGTAACCAGGGACGGATCTAGGATTTTTCGTACGTTAGTCAAAAATTTCGTTGCTGAACATTAGCCTTTTGACTGGGGGAGGGGGTACTTTTGACGGGGGGAGGCCGGGGGGGTGGGTGGTGCCAAGCAAATTAATTTTTTTAATATATGTTCTGTTTACGAAAAAATCTAACTTAAAAAAATTGCTTTTTCGCTCAATGTCAAACAGATATCCAATTCTCATCGAGAAATAGATTGACAAGGATGACTTGACGTTTTAAAAATTGTTATTTAATCGCATATTTTTTGCTTTGACATGGATGGTCCAAAAATTTTGCAATATAGTGATGCAATTTAAAACATTTGATTGATTGTTAAGCAGGAAGAGAATTTCCACGTTTAATTAACTGCTCCTCGAGTTTCATTCATAGCAGAAACATGCGCCATGAATAAGTATTCACAATGGCAACATGACCCATTTTACTTGCTGTATACATGTTGTAGAGATCGTATTACACAAGGCCATGCTACATTGTCGTGTTCTTGTAGTTTAACTGAAATAGGCTAGGTATAAATAATATTAATACAGTGTTATTCAGTTATTAATATATAAAGTCCACATGTCACAAGAAGCATAAACAAAGTAGAAACACACTGAAACTGCCTGTATTAAGCCGCAGTATTTATGTCAATTGACGGAAATATTATGTAAATTTCGTCTCGTATTATTATACGTCTTAGACGCGTATCCGCCGATATTATAGCATGTGCGTACAGACGCACAATCCACCACAGACACAGTATAAAGCAGTATACAACAGTTATAATGCTATATCTAGTTAGAATCTCTCGAACGTACTTCGATGTATGATTCCGCACCAAATTTCGTGCGAGTAAGGCTGCTTATGTTATTCACAACGCTCAATAAATCTTTAATAGAAAGCTTTGGTACGCCGTCACTCGCTTGTTTAAATCAGTTTCAATATCTTTGACATTTTGTCGATCGTCATTCTCTAAAGCAGCCTTTACGGTTTCGTAAATACTAACAGACATGTTTAGTATTAGTTCAGAATTTCTGATAGTATATCTTCCCTTTGAACTTTAATAATTTTGCGGTCTAGCACGAAGTAGCGATCAGAAAGGACCAGAAACGTCATAGACCTTTCCGTGCACTAATAAAGCCTGAACGGTATGATCGATCAAAAAAATCCAGCCAATGGGGATTCAGGATTGTTTTGAATTGGCCAATCGGATCGCCTGTATTCGAGCCCCTGATCGCTTTAGCGATCAGAACTCCCTACAGATCGCGCAAAAATCGAGACAGCCAATCAGATAGCTGGAATCTGACTCAGAGCGTGCAAAACTCATGCGTAAGACCGCTTTTCTGCGCGTTCATGCTCGAAGGCCTTAATTGCTACTGAATGATATTTCAAAACTGGACTATTAAACTTCCAACACATTACACTGCGCGAAGTTTGATAACTGGACTGCTATCTTAATTTAACAATTTTCTACTTTTCTGGCCAATTCTTACCTTAGTCGCGTGATCGCTCTGATCACCCCTAGATCCGCCCCTGAGAGTAACATCGCAAACATATTATTCACCTGAGTACACAACACCAGCACAGAAAAATATTCATATTACTAGAACACATTGGTATTGAAGGAACTAGATACTGTTCCGAAATATCACTTACTCGAACCGTCCTGACCGCGTAGCTCAGTTGGAAGAGCATTGGGCTAGTATTCCAAAGGTCGTAGGTTCGAATCCCACCGTGGCCGGGCATATTTTTCAAGCTCGCCTGGTGTGGATATGCACTCAGAGTAACATCACAAACATATTATTCACCTGAGTACACAACACCAGCACAGAAAAAAATCATATTACAAGAACACATTGGTATTGAAGGAACTAGATACTGTTCCGAAATATCACTTACTCGAACCGTCCTGACCGCGTAGCTCAGTTGGAAGAGCATTGGGCTAGTATTCCAAAGATCGTAGGTTCGAATCCCACCGTCGCCGGGCATATTTTTCAAGCTCGCCCGGTGTGGATATGCACTCAGAGTAACATCCCAATCATATTATTCACCTGAGTACACTACACCAACACAGAAAAAAATTCATATTACAAGAACACATTGGTATTGAAGGAACTAGATACTGTTCCGAAATATCACTTAC